GCCGTCGTGTTTTTTTTCTTTCTTTTGTTTTGTTTTTGCCATTGCCTTTGCTTTGGGTTTCTTTTTGGGCGCGCCTTTCGTTTTCATTGCGGGTGTGAGCGGGTGTAGTAGTGGGTGGGTCTTTGGCTAGCTCTCTTCCTCTCGCTCTCTTCGGCCGGGCGCCATGCCGTACGGGACCTCGTCGAAATGCCGTCGGCGGCAGGGAAAACGGTGCATTTGCCGTCGGCAAACCGCTAAAGATGCCGACAGTACCAAGAAGGGATTTGAAAAGATGTTGATTTTGCATTGGTATTGGACTCTAATTGGGTTAATTTGCATTTGATTTTATTGAATCATATTTTTGGGTGTGTTGTGATATTGACTAATGATTTATTTTACTTTACAATTTTGTTGAATTGATTTAAAGACATTCTTAAACCTTAGACTTCAGCTAACTTTTAAGTTTCTCGTGAATAAAAACTTGATTTGTTTTTAGTTGTGGAGTTATTTGCAATTTTTTATATTTAATATTAATTATTAGTTTTTGTTATTTAATTAAATTATTATTCTGAGCGACAGTTGTAGACATAATTAGATATGACGTGACCTCCTTGGCCAACAAACGGCCTGGGGATCATCTAAAATACCGCGAATTACGAGGTACTATCAATTAAAAATACATAATTTAAATATATTTTTATAAGACATGAACCGCTTTGACACCAGCGCAAAGTTTAGCTCTCGCTTTTCTACAGATGGAAAATGGCTCAAATTTCGGTATTCCATCTGTACTCCCACCGCTCCTACAACAATGGGCGCTTCTAAGCCCCCTAGTTACCATCCCCTGACAATACCCACCAACCAGAATATCTCCCCACATTGCGGTACCCAAAAAAAACTAAGTGAAGAAATAGGATAAGAAGAAGAAGCGAAAGCAAAGACCCAAAAAACAAAACAAAAAAAGAACAAACGAAAAAGAGAAGAGAAACACAAGCATAGGACGTTGGGGCTCATGAAAGCTTTTTGTGGCGCACCAATGGCACCGCGTTATGCTCCGACACACACACACACACAGAGCCATCGAAATGCCGTAGGAGAGGGTTACTAGAGAGGGGGTGGCACCTGCCCCAAATGGGAATATACTCCACTCAGAGGCAGCAGCATCGACGAATACCGTAACGTGGTGTGCCAAAGAAAGCCCGACCCCAAAAAAAAAGAGGAAAAAAAGAGAAGAAAAAAAAACTGTAGAAATGGCAAACCCAAAACTGACACCAAGCGCGGCTAACCCTTTATCGCACATAGGGTTTCCCTTACAGGACCGCATATTTAGGTTTTTGTTATGGTGTTCCCACTGTCGGCGTCTCTGCTAGTGCCCTCTGTGTCTGTGTGTTCAGGGGCTTGGCCATTGCCCACACAGCAGTGGCATACACTGTATGTATATACATATGTATGATATGTACATAGTTTTGGGTTACCCAAAATCGACATGATGCTATATTATATGGCAACACAATTTGCTCAATGGTCTGCCGCTGCGCTGCCACTAACACTGCCAGAGCGCTGCTGATGCTGCGAAGCCGTCGCCAGAGGAGCCGCTGCCAACTTTAAGTAGCACTCGACATCGTGGGCGGGCACTACTCAGATCTCTGTCTGTGTGCGTGAAGGCGTGACAGCAGGGTAGGGGATGTCTGCTGTGTAGTGGAAGAGAGGGGAGCGACAAGGGGACAGGACACTCTTGGGCCCACAGCCCCAGATCGTCGTACTTCTGTGGGCTGTAACTGCTGCCATTTTGTGTGACACAAAACTAAAACCCAACTATAAAATTGTGTCCCATCTGGGATACATTTATTTATGTACATATGTACAGGCACACACACAAAACTATACATAAATAAATACATAGAGATATGTAAATATATACATAAATAAATACATACTTCGTATATAACATATGGAAGAAGAGCACATAATGATATGGTCAGGGCCACTTGGACACCAAATATAATTAGGGACGAAGAAAGGTTCGAGTTATGAGCAGCTTAATCTTGATCTTAATCTTAATTGAATGACCCTAAGACTGGTCACATGCTAGTCAAGCTGACAAGAAATCCTATTCTAAACAATATATAAATAAGCAAAGTCGCTTGGCATTGTAAGAACAAAATTCTACGACCTCATCGGGCCATTGGAATTATTTAAAAATTTCAAAAGGAATAAGCCCAATAGGGGCTTGCAGCATTGCCAAAAAATAATACAAAAGTACATACATATGTCGCATATTTTCCGTTAAATTTAATGAGCTTCGAAACGACATCGAAAAAAATCTGCAAGGCCCATTAATTTAAGGTAAGGTAGGCTGTGTGTGACGAAGCTGTACTGCAAGCTTGACGGTCTCACCTCATACCTTATACCTTGCACAGCTGGCTTGCATCTTCGGCACCGAGAAATTCCCAACTGGTTCATGCTTACAACTAATGGAAACACTGTTTCTGGCATAACCAAAGCACCTGCTTCGAATCAGCGCATCAAAATTCTGATCATTTTTGCAGTGAAATTGATCTCATTGCATTTTTTGGCAGCACCAAAGCGCCGGATGCGACTGAATCGCTCCTCACTTTCTAACCAACTTCCGCCCCTTGGAATTTTTGTAAAGCGCCTGGCAGCTTTGTTGCCGGGCCATAGGAAATACATTTGAAAGGTATGAAAGTGGGACTTATCACGCGCTACATAGAGTTTGCTCTCCTGTTCACCATCTTCGAAGTCTGTAAACAGTTGCTGAAAATCTTATTGGCACCGATTTCCCTCCGTCTACCCATTACTGCAGAATGTTCCATCAAACGTTTCCACGGTATTGTTTTGACTCTGAATTAAAGTTTTCGTCTGACACAGAGTGGCGAAGGGCTAGAGGGATAAAAGCGCCTACCGTCTTGACCTAGTTTTGCATCTATTGTACAGATATCAATCATTATATATGCGCTCGTGTGTGTGTGTGTGTGTGTGTGTGTGCGTATGGAATTGTATAGATGGAAGAACGGAAATCGTAATGCAGCCATGCCAATCATGTAATGCAGCAGAAGAAACTGCTCTGCTGAAGACATTTGGAGGCGACTGGTAGTGGTGGGAGGGAGGCGGCTCTGGCCTTTGCTCTCAGCCTATCCCCCCACATCCCTATTTATTTGGGCACCCCCACTGTAGCTGACTGTTTGGTTCGTTTGGTTGGTTCGTTGGTGTCACATTTTCGGTGAAATTTTGGTTTGCAAACTTTGGCAAAACTTGGCCAAGTATTTGGCCTCAAGTGTGTTAAAACGAGACAACGCTAGCGAGCCACCGATAGAGCCACCTAGACATTAGAAAGAGAAATAGAGACGGAGACCGAGAAAGAGAGAGAGAGAGAAGAGAGAGCACAAAAGCATGTGAGTGTACTGTGGTCGGTCTGCGTCTCAGAGAGTAGAAATTCTCAGAGCTGTTTTGTCAGCTGCCTTGACGGTTTTCTTAAGCTTCGGCATTTGTCCTTTCCCCAATCCAAGACCCCTCCTTTCGAACGTCTTTGGTTCTGCCTCTGCCACTGTCACTGCCACCGCCGCAGTCTCAGCCAGCGTCACAGTCGCGTTTTGCTACTGAAACTGCCACTGCCACTGGTACTGCCACTGCCTGTGTCTGTGTGTGAGCCTGCCTCTTAGAAGGAGGCTGCTGCAATGGCAGAAGTGCACTGGCTTCCTTCCACTTGCCCACAAATGTGGGCTGCCACTTGATGGCGGCCGCATGGACACAGCCAGCCAGCCAGCCAGCCGTGGGCGAGACAGAGATAGGGAAATACATTTCCAGAGAGAAAGAGAGAGCGAGCGAGTGGGACGGCGCCCTGCTTGGGGGATAATTTTAATGAATTTATTTAGGAGTTTGTCTTGGTCTCGACTTCCATGACAGAAGGCGGCCAGCGGCAGGTGGCGCTCCCCATTGGACACACTCATATCTACATACAAACATACAAAACATACTTGCATACGCACACACATAGCCCTATACATGCACACAAAGAAGCAGCACAGCAGCAAAGCGGCAAGCAGCAATGGCTGCCTGTGAGCATTGCAGAGTGGAGGGATCCGGATCCATCCGCCATGGAGGCCTTTGCCAATGTTGTTTTGCAGCAACCAAAATGTGCGGCAACATTTTTGGTCTTGCACAGTGGGCTATATGTGGTCGAGACGGCTTTGCAAGCAGAGAGTCTTTGCTTCTGCTTCTGGGTCTGGGTCTTGTCCTGGTTTTGTTGTTGCTTCTCTCTATTTTTTATTTGTTTTTCTTTTGGTTTTGAGATTTTGGTTATTGGTCTTGGTCTTGGTCTTGGTCTTGGCATTGCACTTGGCAGTCTCTCGAATGATTTATGTAGTTGGCATAACCTTCATGCTCCTATTCATACCCTTGAAGTGTGCCTAAAGCCAAGCAGCCGTTGGGTACAGCAAAAGGGCGTGCACATATGATCTGAAAAGGCCTTCAAATATGCAGAGTGATGCTAAAATGTTAGCCACTCATTGAGCGCTGTATTTCTTTTTGGTTTTTGGATTTCATATGTCAGAGATAGTTGTCGAAAGTTTGTTGGTTGCCTGCGTCCGACTTGTTGGGCTATTTAGAGCTGATTTTAGGCCAGAATTGGCCTTTTTACAGTCTTTCAAATGCTTTCCGCGATCCAACTCACAAAAAATTCAACGTTAGTTAGCGACGACAACCTAAAATGGTGCACTTGAAGAAATTCAGTTGATGTAAATCGTCTTGAAAGTAAATTAATATATTTAAATACGCTACCAATACGCTATTTAATTAACAAAGTTGGTAAGTTATTTGAGAAGACACAGAGGGTTTATTTTTAGAATGGTTGAATCGATTCAGTTGAGGGGCACTGTGGTTATCTCCAATTCTTATGGGAATACAAAATGTATAGATTTTATTTAGCTAATCTTTCGAATTCCCTACAGTACCCTTGTTTAATTGATGTAAACTTAATGTGGTTGCTCCTTTTCCCATTCCAGGTTTCGCACACCATTTGGTGGGGATGCACAGTCATTTGCATGCGCCCGATTGGCGTGCGCACATGGCCCTGGGTGGACGGTCAGCGGGTTTTCCAGCAGGCCCATTCTTTGGCCATCATGCGGCATTTCCGGCAGCCAGCGGCTTGAGAGGATTGAGCGGTGAGTGCTGTGAAAAATACGCCATTTAATAGACATCAATCTCACTGTTTCCATTCACTCCAGCAGATGCTCAGCAGCAGCAGCAGCACCAACAGCAGCAGCAGCAGCAGCAGCAATTGGCAACAGTCGGCGCCGCACACAGTACCACCAGTCCGGAGGGATCACCCACCACAACGACAAGTGGCACGTTGAGTGCGTTTGTCCAGCCACCCATCCACTGTCCCCTGGGCTCTCCGCGATCTCCACCCACGATCCTGACCTCGCTGCAGCACGACAATAACAATAACAGCAGCAACATCGATGCGGGATTCGAGAGCGACAGCATTTCGGTGACGGGTTCGCCTCGGAAGAGCATCAGCTCACCGCTCACACACGACGAAGAGGAAGCGGAAGCTGAGGCTGAGGCAGAGGCAGAGGCAGAAGCGGAACCAGATGGAGAGGCGGAAACGGAGCCCGGCACACGGCCAAGTGGCGACGCCAGAAATCAGGGTGCGATCAGTGGCCGAGTCGCCGGATCGCTGACCGAGACTGCGCCCGGCTCGGGTGGCGCATTCACAGCCCTCATCCAGCGCAGCAAGAATCCCTCGGAGCTCTTTGGTGGCTTTGCAGCGGCCGGTGGTAATCACTTTGCCCCCTCGCACAGCTTCAATCCGGCCCTGGCCGCCCAGCTCTTCCTGCAGAGCCCTCTCCTGCCGCAGTCCAGCCAGTGGCTTTACACCCAGCTCTACGGCAGCTACAGCGATCTGCCATGGTTAAGGAGCGCCGCAGCGGCGGCAGCAGCCAGCGCGGCTCCCGCCCAGGCTCAGGCTCAGGCTCAGTCGCAAAGCCAACAGCAGCAGCAGCACCAGCAGGACTCGGCCACTTCGCTGATGAGCGGCGGCGACCATGACGGTGTCAATCTGATCAAGCGATGCGTCACACTGATCACGCACAATCCACCGGATGCGGAGAATGCCAATCCGAATTCATCGCCGCCGGTCAGCTCCACACGCCGTTCGCCCTCGCCCGTGGAGACTATCGATCTGGATGATGTCAGCACCACCTCCCGATCGGCCAGCGGTTCAGCTTCCGGCTCTGGGTCCAGTGGTGGCGGCCCCATACGGACGCGCACTCCCAAGCCGTCGGCGGATGTGTGGCGCCCCTACTAGCGGCTGGCGGCCGCCTTGCTGGGCACTTGCCTGGCGGCGCAAGGACAGGGCGAGCATGGGATCGATGCGAAGGATGCACAGGAGACCACACCCAAATCAAACGGAGAGAAAGATTGAGAGAGAGCTATAGAGAGAGATATACAGATAGAAAGAGCGAATTGCGGTTGTGGTGTTGTGTGAATAGTCGCCATATCGCAGCTGGCGAGGGTTGCTCCATGATCTTGTGATTCCCACTGGCAAGATCTCTCGCAGACTCACGCCCTGCTGCATTACTCTCCTCAGGCAGTGCAGGGATTGAGAGTTATTCAGCAGAATCTAAGCAGGCAACAGCGACAAACTCATTGAGCAACCCTCGCAGTATGTAATGTTTTTTGTGTGTTGTTCTTTTTTTTTTTTTTTGGGTCAACCCCTAGTCTAAGCGGCTCACATATCGAATTTAAATCAATTAGCATGACCCTAGCATAAAAATACAAATTAATAATAAAAATAAAATATTTAAAAATAGTTCAAGGCTGGGGCAATTATTAAAAGGAAATTAATATCCAACATATATTGCTACATATTTATATTATGTAACATATACGTATATGTAGATACCAGATCTGTGTACATTGAACAAACATATATTGCTCCAAGTTTAAAGAAATATTTGCAACAATTATATATATACATAGATATTTAAGAAATATAATGTAATATTTTTTTTTGTGCAAGAAAAAGAGAATAGTTATACATACATACAACTAATATACGAGTATAAAGAAGAGAAAACTTAATACAAATATTTTAAAATTTATTAAAAATAAATTTAAGCCAAGACACACACACACGCAACACACTCACTCACACACAGACACAGAAAGCGAGACAGTCAGAGATCACATTTGTATATAAGGGCACTTCGAGTAGTGTGCCAAAGATTCGTTAATAAACATTTCAATTAAAAATGTAAAACTGATTAACCAGCAGGAAAGAGTACTCGAATTCGATCGATGGAAGTTATTTCTACCATGTTAGAGACATTTTCCGTCATTTTCTGTGAAAGAAAGCAATGCCACAGATGCTGATATATTTAGAATGGGTCCAATCCTCTTCATACAGACACATAAAGAGCGAATGGCATTGGGGAATGGGATTTGGATAATCAGCGCCGCCAAGAAAAGCTTTTAAGAAAATTAATTCACCTCCTGCCCAACCCGGTGCACCCATCAAAGGGGTTAACAAGAGATTGTGAGCGAAAGGGGGGAGGAAGCCAAAAGAGAATTGAATTTATTGCTGTAGAGACTTTGGCGCAAATAGAAGTCTCGCTAAATAAAAAGTTTAAATAAATGGTCAAACTTGAAAGCGAAAAAAAGGCGTCCAAAGTAAACCAGCCAACAGAAAAATCTTGGAAAAGGGTCTCTCGGCCAAAAGGATGAGAAAGAGAGATGGCGATGGAGAGAGAGAGAGAGAGGAGAGGCAAAAGACTTTCAACTTGTGATACGAGTATGTTCCCGGGGAATCTGGCATTCGCTTTGGCTCTAGCACTCGCACTCGCACTCGCACTCGCTCTGGCTCTGGCTGCCCTGGCAGCTTATTTAAGTCTCGGGGAATAATGAATGAGTTTTCCCAGCTCATATTAAATGAGCTTGGCTGCGATCCAAGAAAGTAAATTCCCTTTAACCCGCTCTCTTCTACATTTTCCCCCTCTCCCCCTGCGCCTAATGAAGCATAGAAACAATTAGCGAATGGCTTTTAAGACGGCAACGAAAATAAAAAAAATGGGATAATCTCTTTGCGAGCTTTGGGTCTTAATGTAATCGCTTGTCTTCAGCTCAGATTATTTATCTTATTCTTATTTTCTCAGGAACTTTGTAAGCCTTTTGTCACCACTTAGCCGAAACTCTTGCTAAAGGCGCCATAAGTAATGGTTGGCATAGGATGGGAACTCCTCTTTCCTTGAACTTTCTAGTTATATTTTTAAAATATATTCTTTTTACTTCTAAGAATACTTCTAGTTATTATAGAAGGAATACTCTTTACTTGTTCGCCCCACCACCACTTTCGCATGTAAATTTCTATATTTGTTCGGGAGGATAATTCCAAGCAACTCATTTGTCAAATGCTCCACTAATCCCGGACCCACATGTGACACCACCAAACACCCCTCAATCCAATTACGTGGATGCGACGAGTATCATGTGTAAGTAAAGAAAAAGGTTCATCTACCGTGCCCGAATCTGAAACAAATGGCAGAAAATTAACTTTGCCTTATGACTTGGAACTGACAAATCGTCAACGTATCCTGGGACCCGTGCCGGGCTCCTGACCCGATCCTTGTCGTTAAAATACGAAAATTAACATACTCAAATGTGAGTTTTAACCCAAGCCCAAAAAACACACTCACACACACACACACACACATGTATCCCCTCTGGCACACACACTCTTAGACGCAACTGTGTGTAAAAAAGGAGAAAAAGAAATTAAAAATGAATAACATAAAATGAAAGGCCAAGGCCTGGCACTTGGGGGGGTGGGTGGCTGGCTGGCTGGCTGGCTGGCTGGCTGACTGCCTGCCTGGTGGTGGCCTTTCACTTCACTTTCCACTCTGCACTCCGCACTCTCCACTCCACTCTCCCTCGTCATCAAGTCAACCTTGTCTCGTCGTGTCACCTTTTCTGACACCGACTTCTACTGGCTGTCATCCCATCATCCTCGGCCGGCTGGTCAATGGCCATGACAGACCCAGCTGGGCTTTGGTATTTTACTTATCTTTTACCTATTTTCCTTGCGTTTTTTTCTTCTTTCTTCTATTCTCAATTTTTGTTTTTTTGCTGTCGTATAGAAAATCAGAAAATTGTGTGCTGCCATCAAATGTTGGCTGTCGCTGTCTGGAGACGTTGTCCTGACTACCCGTTTTCTGCCTCAAATGATGACTGGCATTCGATGGCGACACGGACCAAGTGTGGGCGGCAGGCGGCAGGCGACTGGCAATCTTAAGAAATGGCAAGGACTCAACCTAATAAACTGTTGCCCAGGACAACCAGCATTGACACTGACTCTCCACCTTTCCACCTACATATCTCCCACTCTCTCTCCCTCTCCCTGTCTCTCTCTGGCAGTTTGTTTTTAACAAAGGACAGACCAAAAACTTTCATATCGTGTTTGAGGTTGAACAGGTTCGAAATTAAAGCATCTGTCCTGGGTCCTCTTTGTGTGGGACTGTTGCTCAAGCGTTAAATAGAAAATTTTATGGCCACTCCTGAGTGCGGCTGTGTGTTGTGTTCTGGCAACACAAGTGCACAATTGTCCACTCACATAGATACACACACACAGACACAGCCTGAGACTGTATCCGAAATGGAGATGGAGAGCCAACCACACTCTCCTGTGCATCTCTCAATTGCGTTTTCATTTCAATAAGTGGGCTTTCAATTAACATGTTTCCTCACCCGGCACCACGTGCCCTTGCCACCTCCATCCACTGGTTGTACGTGCCGCTTGCCGCCTGCCGCCTGCCACCTGCCGCTAGCTCCTCCACGTAATTTGACTTTATGTCATTATCAAATGCCAAAAACTTGGAAGGAAGAGCGAGCCATAGAGACACTTGAGGGCAGAGCCCAATCTACCGTTTGCTGCTAATTATGCCATCATTAGAGACGCCGACACCCGCCCCGTCCACCCACCTACACACTTTACACTTCCGTACACACACATGCAATAAATTTAACTGTCTTTGCCGCCCCCACACCATGTGCCATGTGCCCAAGTACGAGGAGTATCATCATCTGACTTCAGTTTACTGCAAATTGCTTGGAGCTCTGGGTGGATGGGTAGGTGTCTTTATTATGACGCCTCTGTCACACGCAACACACACATGCATACATATTTACATACATGTATGGTATATTGGTATGTATGTACATTTATGCATGGACGGGGCTTGACATATCCCCCAAACAGCTTTCAGAGAGAGAGCTCCTTCAGAGGCCGCCGCCGCCTCACTATGAAATCACTTGCAGGGCTAATTGCACTGCTTATTATTAATAAATTGCTGCCTGGTCCGTAATTACAGCATTCCACAGTTTGGGGATGCTGCTGGGAATGTAATAGAAATGTTGCAAGGTGGAATGGAAATTTAAATCGAAGTGCAAATGTAAATGGTATTGGGCCAAGGCAGGTGCTTTGTAGGTGGCAATTGCTGTTGTACATTGAAAAGTGCTCGAGAGTGTGTCACTTCTAATAGTATTTAAAGGGTTAAACAGGTGTTTTATGTGTAGAATAAATAACTAGCAATTTGCACAGATGAAAATGGACAGGCAAAAGTGGGACTTAAGGAATTAGTAAAAAATTGAAAGGGTACACAGTATCCGAATACCCGAATAACAATATTGCTGGCAAACATTCAACTGCGCATTGTTAATCCTGGCGGATTGGTGGGGATTGACCAATTTCTTGAGTTTCAGGCGAGAATCGACCAGAAAACTGCGGTTCCACGCACACACTTAAAGGGCAACACAACAACAAAAAGAGCCAGTGAAAACACATGAGATTTTCACAATTTCACTTAAACGCCAACAGACATAAACACACACACGTAATAAAGGAGAAATTTGTATGTAGAATGAGTGGGTGATGTCAGTGTCGCAGTTTTCTAGAAGCCAGAATAAACAACAACCAGCCGGCAGCGTCACAAACTTCGTAACGGCAACGGGAACCACAAAACATTTTGTTGGACAGCGAACGGCCGGCAAAGGACATCGAAACGACAGCGTCGCCCCGTTTGCCTGCAACATGACAGGTGGCGTGCCCCGACCACCCGCGACAAGCGACCATGCGACCATGCGACCATGCGACCATGCGACCTGCGCGACCCCCTGCGCCACCCCATTGCTGTACCCGAGCCGGGCCGCAGCCGTAGCTGAAGCTGTAGCCCCACTTCAGTGGGGCTTTGTCACAGGAACTGTTAATAATGTGTAGCCCCAGCAGCGAGCGCAGGAACAAAATCAGCGTCATTGGCGCACCTACAACATGCGATGTTGCGGTCAGCGACAACTTCGTGCCGTATCAGCAGAGTGAGACGGGAAGATATGGAGCCGGCGCGACCCGTAGAGAGGAAGGTAGAGGGACGGAGAGAATAAAACACACGGCTTCCTCCTGAAAATTGGGGGAAAAATAAAAGTGCACCCAAATGGTGTGGAGTCAGTGTGGGAGGACATGGGAAGGCAGGTCATGAGTGACGGCGCCGCTGCGTCAGCGGCATGTAATTTTCACGGTTTTTCGCAAATACGAAAACGAAATACGTTAGACGAAAACTCCCTCATGCTCTCCTGGCTCCCATTCTGTTGCTCGACCCCGCATGCTCATGATAAAAACAAAAACTATAACGGGTATAAGGTAAAAGTACTATCAAGTTATGGCCGCTGAGTGAAATACCCTAACTAAGGGTGAGGAGGATGATACCCACTTTCAGAATGAACGGAACGCAGTTTCGCTTGGCGGAACTATTACTAAACTGTAATCCATTTCAACTGATGGAATTGATGCACTACCAAAACTACTCAAACAGAGATCCGAACACAAAGAGAAGATCGCCGGAACAAGAGCGAAGAAGCGGCAGCGGACGACGGTGCGAGAGTTCTCGTTTGGACAGAGTTACAGATTAAACAACCATTAAATATTTAAGATCTACATAATAAACAATTATTTAAACATATCCTTCCCACGAGTATTTATGTATATTTATTTACTTAAATATTTAAGTTCCATTTTACACTATTCACTACATGATGCCGTCGAAACAGCACAAAAACTTATAGACACTGGGTGCAGGGGGGAGGCGTGGCTTTTAGGGAGGAGGGTAAAACAAAGCTGCCACCTACCCCAATCGTGAGCCCCCCTTAGCTCTGCGTGTGACAACAGAAACAGGGAAAAAATATGTTGATGAACGAGCGAGTGAGCGGCGTGGCGAGGCGTGGGTGGAGCGAAGGGAGGGAGCCAGGGGTAGCCTCTCTGGCTTTTTAGCGCCTCCAATGGAAAAACTAAAATTATGCAATGCCACGCCTCTTGTGATATGGCACTGCCTCTGCAGAATGCAGGCCTCGCAGCTTGATGCCCTGTGTGCATTATAGCATGCAATTTCTGTTCGCCTTCTTCCCTGTGAGTGTCATTTAATGAGCGCTAGGGGTCATCGTGTGGGTGGAGCTCCTCCAAGGGTGTGAGCATTGCGTGGGATGGGTGTGGGTGTGGGTGTGGGTGTTCTTTGGGTGCAGTTGAATACCGGAACGTACGGGACGCTACACACCATACGCTATACGTCGCTGCCAACAATGCAACAACGCTTTACAATTTTCATAGGCATTCCATGCATTTTGGTCAGTTTGATGTGGGTTTTCGTTTCTCGGTGTCGTTTGCCTCGCTTACACAGCGAGAGAAATAGAGAAATAGAGGGGGCACAGAAAGAGAGAGAGAGAGAGAGAGCTAAAAATACCAGCTCATTCGCGCATAGCTCGCTATCAACGTCAACAAATACCCTCATCCCATGGACTCAGACTAGAATGGGATTGGGATTGGGTTCCCGGTTCCCGGTTCCCTACTGCTTTCATTCAAGTATTTTTCGGTAAATGCAAACACCAACAGAAACCAGGAGGATCCCAGTCCAACTCTCAGAAACCGAGTTCCTGTCCAGCTACAGGAGAAGCAATAGGAAAAGGGAGAGGCAGAGGCAGAGGCAGAGGCAGAGGTACATGTATCCCAGAAAACCCTGGTACCCCATTGTCGTCGCTAACAATAATGAGTTCGTAATTTGATGTCGCTGCAGAAAAGCGTGTGCACTTTGGGCCGGTGTATGGCGGGGTCGGTTCTCGGTTCCCGGTTCCCGGTTTGTTTGCAACGTCGCGTTTTTGCAAAAAAACCCCCTCCCGCAAAGCGCAATGGACACAACAACAGAAAAAGTGGAAAGAAATAACACAACAACGGAACGTATACGTACGTACATATATGTATATGTCCGTATGAATATGTAGCTGTGGCACCCATGACCAGGCCCATGTCCATGCCCCAACCTCAAGCTCACATCCATATGTGATTTATCAATGTCCGCTCGTCAGCATCCCCGTCCATCGCAACTAGCCCTCGGCGTGGGGCAGGGCTACTGGTCTACTCCATGCGGCTCCATGTTGTGTCAGGGACACATGTTTCCAGCTCAAAAATGATGTGGGAGCTTGGGGCGAAGAGTGCAAAAACTATTACAAGTGTCAATTCAATCGTTCAAATAATTAAAGATCAGCTCGCTGTGATAGATGACTCTGCAGAAAGGGAACACTGGTCCCTGCCAGGATCACTACCGTACGGGATGAGTCAGCTGTCACAGATTATCTGCTCATGATGGATGGATGACTATATTCCATAAGGAGCGGGAAATTCAGCCTCCAAGAACTTTTTCCGGCTTGACTTTGTTTGGAATATGCTGGATTCTTTCGGATAATGGTTTTGAGACCTTTAACGCAGGAAATATACATTAAATTCCTTATGAAAAGAATCCACCACTGCCTCAATAAATACTTTAAGATTTTATGCATGCAAATTGGATTCGTTTTGTATCTTTCCTTCTTGCTTGCTTTATTTATTCTCTCTTTTTTTTGTTTGAGAAATGATCCAAGTGTCTTGCTGAAGCAAAATTAATGATTTCTGTCCTTTGATTTGATTAAAAATGTAGTCCAAGAGGAACACAGAAGCCCAACAGCGATGACATGTTGTCTTTTGAGTTGACACATTCGTCAGGCCAGGACAGAGGAGTGAGATGTCTGTCCATTTTTTGGTAATTTTTCTTAATTTACGTGGCCAGTGGCAGTTACTTCAGGGAGTGGGCATTTTGATTGAAACCTTAACCTTTGTTATCGCTCATACGCCAATCTCTAATCGAATGTCCCGAGAATAGCCTCAGTTTCACAATAAATTACCTCCGATGGGACAGGATAGACGCACATCGAGGGGTTACCCAAATCAAACTCCAGTTAACTAAACACGCCTTAAATGGGTATTATCTGCTGGCCAGCACATTTAATTTCAATAAGCCCAGTTCCTGTCCCATTACCGCCTGGGGCTTGCCCGGGTATTGGTCAACTTCTCCACCAACTTGGGCCACCTGTGACCAATTTCGATTATGAGACTTGGCAACTTCTTTCTTTTCGTCTTTTTTTTTATAATACAGTCTTCGCTTTTTTTTGTGTTGGTTTTCTTGTGTGCTGGTCCTCATCTTGGTCTTGGTTTTGGGTCTGAAGACAACCCCAGAGGCGTTGTAAATTTTCGTGCCTCATAAAATCCAACCACCCCGGATCTGGGGTCCAAGGGTCTGGTGAATGGTTCGTTCGCCGCCGTCTATCCAATATTGCCACGGAGTTCATTTTTTCTTGGCTATGGTGTTGGGGTTGGGGTTTTGGGTTGGAGGTGGTTTTTGTGGGTGGTTCTGGGCGCGAGCTGGCTAATCAGCTTCCGCATTTTTATAGCAGGACGGACGTGCAACGGAAATCGCAAGTAGCTTAGCCTAATATGCTTTGTGTTTTGCTCTTTATTTATTTATGCCACTTTCGCTTTGTTGTCAGGTCTCCAGCTCTCCACCTCTCCACCTCTCCACTCTCCGTCCGGTTTCTTTCTTTCCTCGTGTTCTTCTTTTTTCCTCGATTATTTTTCTGTGTAAGCGTATATGTGGGTGGATAGGAGTAGGAGGAGAAGTAGCAGGAGGAGGGCTTTCCACTCTAATATTTCTGGTAGGCGGCCGGCGATTGTTGTTGTCGTGGGTCATTTGTTTTACTTGGCCTCAAATAAATCCAAATAAATAATTCATTTGGCGCTGAGTTTGCTCTCAAGATTTTTCCGTATTGATTGGATAGCTTTTGGAGTTTAGCAGTTGGCATTTGCCATTGGAGAACCGGAGGGACAGTCGCTTGTTGACTAATCAAATGCCCGCGTTGTGGCAGTCGGAAGTCGGAGGATTATCTGAAATGCCTAAAATACATAACTAGCTTCAGATATACATACATACATGTACGTATGTTTTTTTATTTGTTTGGGTAGCTAGAGCTCCAGATAGCTGGAGGAAGATTGCCGAAAATCTAAAAAGATTGATGAGCCTTGCTCAAAAATTGGAGATTTCTACCACGAAAAATACTTATACAAGTGGCAACTTTCTTTGTTTCATACATAAATTTATATATTTATATATAGACTTAACCATCTACATTCAAGAGTGATATTCAATAACATCGTTTTAGATATTCAAATTGATATGAAGGCATTATAGGCTTTATAATCACTTGACCTTGACCTTTACCCTGTCGCTTGTCCCAAGAACGTAATAAATTTACTTGCAGACTCAAGACAAGACAGGTTTTTAAAAGTTGAAACCTATTTATGTGCAGATAAACTACACAAATAATTAATAATGATATAGAGCTACTGCTGATCTATCCACACGTAAATAAATGTACATACTTATACGTACATATGTCAGTTTGTTAACTGTATGTATGTAAACTTGTATGTAAAACATGTTTGTATATTATCAAACTTTAAGAAAATTTAATCGAATACTTGGTACACGTATATTACGATTCTAAATAAGTCTGTTAACTTAGTACGCTTACACCTAAATGCTATGTATTGGATATAATATGAAACAAGCCAAATCTGTTCTGATTATATGCCCAAACACGAATAGATGTAGAACGCACTGTGTCTTCTCTTCTTTTCCTCTTGCATATGATCCCGAATAAGCCGAATGTTTGTATGTATATATATTAGTTGTAATGCAGTGACGTTCTCTCGTCTCCTTTCTGGTTTGTATTCTGTCTGTCTTATACACATGAGTATATTGTTCAAACATATTATATTTGTAATAATACTTAAGGGTCTGGGCAGGATTACATGTAGACATTCCATTACTCAATGGTCTAGGTTTTCTAGGTGAAAATAGTAAATACATTTTTTTATTCCTTTAAGCAAAATACAAATATACACTGCATAATCTATATAATAGATTTGTTTGAACATTTATCATCAGGCTGTTATTGGATGGATACCAAACTGGCAATTTTTAAACTAATCGTTACAATTAGATTACAATTCGTTTCTGTTCAATTGATTCTGTGACTGATTATTTCTATTTAAGGAACATTAATTCAGTTAAGTGCTGTGATCAACAGGTCTATCTATAGATCCATTCTATAGTTTAAAAAATATCAATATTAGCAGCAGCTAAAAATATATTTAAAAACTAGCAAATTAAGAATCAATAAGAACTGATTACAAATTTGCATTGTTTAAGCGGACAATGTAACCATCTCCGGTTCCCCCATTGGTCACCGTCAACTGTCTGGAGTTGGATTCGTTATTGGCGTCTCCGGCTGTGGGCAAGCAAAATAGTTTTTGGATTAGCAAGTGATGTAAAATAACACGCATGTAGCATGTACTCGTAGATGTCGGTATTGGCAAAGACAATCACAAGCAGTGGCAAGGGTAGTATAGTTATTTATGAATTAGTTGGTATGGTGCACCTCTCCAGTGGGACCATGGGAAAGAGGGAATGTTGACTTGCACTTTTTATAAGGTGCGTCAGACACTCACCCAAAAAGTAGTCGCAACGGCGAAAGTCTGCATTAGGGTCGAGCATTGGCATTGGGATGTTGTAGTTGTGGTGACCTGCGAGAAACGGATTCTGGCCCATTAGTCTGCAGTCTCGCTGGGACAACGAGGGCTGGCTGGCGATTGGAACTGGGCGCGACCATGGACTGCAACCGATGAAAGGCATCGGCTGCACCATGGCGACTTGTCTCGGCGCACTGGTGGGTGCACGAGCGCGGTGCCAGCCGCTCGCAGCGAAGTGCGGCCACTGCCCGTCTGGAGCTGGGCCCGAAGACGAACGGGCAACAATCGGAGCCATCGCTTGCACGTTTGCAGCAGGTATCGGTCCCACTGAGGTTTGTGGTTGTGGGCCACCGGTTTCACCGCCATCATTTGTCGGACGCACTGCAATGGGAGAAGATGAAGAAGCCACCATCTAAGTTTATTCTACTTACCATTGGAACCGACACTGTTCTGGCTGCCATTCGACGGATTTTCTGGCGAGCAGCAGAGTCTCTTGGCGCAGCATGGCGCCGGAAAGAATAAGCAAGGTTGCTGTGGAACCTGCAGGAGCAGTGGTTTCAAGCAGTAGGAGCAAGTCCCATGTTGCACAGCTGTGCCCTGTGGTGGCAACAAAAACAGCTGATTGGCCGGCATGGGCATGCGCCAAGTGTCCAGTTGCCATTGCGTCAGCGTGTCGTTGTTTATGCTAGGGAAAATATTTCGGAGAGGTTCCAGCTCGTGCGGCTGTAGAATGGGTGTGTGTAGCACATGCTCGAGCGGCACATTCGGCTCGTCCAGTAGCGAATGAATTTCATTGTCTTCTTGCGGTATGTTGAATGGGATTCTCTCTACGCCACTTACTGGCGAAGGCGGTGGTGGCTGTGTCCCGTTGCGTTTGGGGATCTCAGCTTGCTCCATCGTTAAGTAGCCGATCCACTCAGAAAAGGCACGTGCCTCCTGTTGAGCAGCCTCCGCCTTAGCCGCCTCAGCCAAGCAAACCATGACAGAAGCATATTGTGGTGCAAGGCCCTGCTTCAGCAACTCAGCCCAAGTACGTGCCGGCACTCGGTCCGACATTATTGCGTTGATCGTTGAATATCAGTTAAGTCACAAAGAAAAGAACACAAAGTATGTAGTTTTCAATCAGAAAATTCTTTTCACTTTGCAGTTTCAGGGAATGTTAAAACTGTGCTATCGATAGGTTAACGATATCGGTTTAACTGGAATGCCAAATGGCGCAAAATAAGGCTATTTTGTGGAAAAACAAGTACAAATGAGCATAGGAAATAATTTGTATTTAATGGAATCCCAATAAGAAATCGAGAAATGAACTGCTCACGGTTTCAGCACTATCCATACAATAATATGTATGCATATGTTTCAGTTCATGCAGGCACACGTTCTCAGTTGACTTTGCGTCGAGAGTACCCCACGCAGCTGCTGCAACTGAAAGTGTGCGTGCAATACACAAGAATATTTTAGTGTAAGCGTTGTTGTGTTTTGTGTTGTGGACATTTGTACACATGTGCGTGTATGTGTTGGATTGGTTGCTCTTCTGAACTGCGAAATATTTTTTTTGGCGGCTGGACAGAGGATGGACAGACTGGGTGCTGATGGGTACAAGAAATTTGTATATTTCTTCTTTTTTTTTATGTACATATTTTAGACATGACCGTTTGAAGACTTTTCCATTCCATTGCAGAAGATTTTATGTATGCTTTATTTGTTAATATATTTTGTAAATTTTACATACATTAATATACACACATCGATATGTTTAAGAAGAAGAAATTCCATACAGCTTTTTAATCTATCGCTTCGATATTTGAACTATCGAGTGAACATCGCAAGAGGCTTGAAGCTGAAGCTTCCACCTCTAAATCAAAACCAAAAGCATTTCTGATAGTCACGAATAAATTGCAAGAAAACTCGACAGTGCCAGAAGTTATAGCCACCCACAGTTGAAAGATCAGCACGGAGTGAAATGCGTGAATGTTCGTTCTTCATGCCAAAGCTTATTGTGCTCGGGAAATAGCCAAGTGGCCAAGAGACGACATGCAAATGGATCCATTCTGCATTTGTGGCGACGGAGACGTAATCAGCTAACTGGAATGATGCGATCGTTGACTCGCGCTGTGTACTTCCATGATGTTGGGGCATGCTTGTGGCAATTGTGGCGGCGAATTTCTTAAACCTGCAGGCCTACGCAGACCTACACAGCGGCACTTGTCGGCGGGACCAGTCCGCTGGCCTCGAGCTGGCGCCAGTGGGGGAATTCTCTGTGCAGTCTTCATAAACCTTAAAGCATTGGATTTCATTATCTTCAAATCTCTCCAGTACATAGACGAAAATCAATCTGAACGATTCGGAGGCCTTCTGTAGAGCGTGATGGAGTAGTTCGCGCAGGCCGAACGAGTACGAGTCGCCATCTCATGGCTTACCAATCGATGGCCTGGATCATCGTTCTTCTCGCCCCTTGCCAGCTTGGTAGTGAAGTTATTGTACAGTCGACCAGAGCACAGCGAGTATATCTCCGGCTTGAGGGCCACCAGATTGCCACCACTCTCGATGAGCGCCTCATCGTACTCGCACTCGTCGGGCGGCTGCTCGTCGCCACCATTACTGGAACCATTTAACTGACACGCTGTGTCAGTTGATTGCTGATCTTTGATGCTTACAGGGATTAACTCAATCAGAGCAGGACCAGTCTCGCCAAATTGACAACATCGAAGAGGTCGCCGAGCTCATCGACACCGCCCTGTTCCACCTGGACTGAGGAACGAGTAGGTACGCTGTTCACTCCGTCTCCGACTGCATCGTTCATATCTTACCTCCTCGATTGACGTATAAATTAAATATTTACTGATAATTGCAGAATATTACACGTTAATGCATGCCATTCTGTTTATGTTGTGGCCATTTAACTTTGCTACCGCTGCTCTTTGTCGCCTGCATGTGAAATAATATCTATCAAAGAATGTACGTATATCAATTCTTGCTTTGTTTTGCCGCTTTATGCAGTTTTATTCATTTTCTTTCAGTACAGGAGGCATTAAGCTGTTTGCCAGCCAAGAGCATGAACAGCCAGACAATTCCACAAATGCTTTAAAAAAATTGCTTGTGAAAATTGAAAACAAAACAGCAAATTCGCCAATGCTGCTGCCTTGTATTCATTCATAAAAGACTTAAGCTTTAATGGAGGACCAGATTTTGGTACAACTTTGCGTGTAAAGACCAAAGACAAGGCCAAATCAAGCGACTCTCGTAGAGGACTTAAAGCCCCGCGTAATCTTTGATATTAAAACCAACGAAAGGAGAGAGGAAACGAAACAGTGTTGAGAGGAGGCTGAAACGAGAAATTGAATGCAAGACACGTTGCAGGATTTATGGCCAAGGAGCAGCCGCCAAACGCAGACTAATAAACAGGCTTCAAAGGAGAGTGGGGTGGAAATTAAAAACCAAGGAATGGAACTGGGGTTGGGGCGTGGAGTACTGTGGCAAGTTCTTGGCCCCAAAAGGTTCGTGTGCGCCGAAAATTGTTGTGAAAATTATAGATAAAATATATACGTGAGTCAATGCAGCTGTGTGGGACTGGGAATGGGACTGGTGCTGCGGCTGGGGTTGGCAATCCTTTCCTTTTGGCCTTGGATTCAGTCGTGCGGCAGGCGAGTGAGAGTCAAATGAAACGAAAGACGAATGAAATGAAATGAAATGAAATCCTTTACCGTAAGAATTTCATGCACGTCAACACGTCCTGGCAGCGACAATGCCGTTGACAGGCATCTCAGGGCCCCGAAACCCTGCCCAAACACTGCCCCTGCCCCACCACTCTCCACTCGCTTGGCAATGTCTGAGGGCTGCGTAACAATTTCTGATTCATATGTTCTGAGGCCAGGCTAGGCCAGGCTAGGGCCAGTCTCGATGATTTATGATGTACGCACGCGAATCCCAAAATGAAAGGCGATAGAGGACAAGTCCTGTTCACAATCGAGGATGGACCCATGGGCTGTGCTCGTGACACGACAGTTGAGGCGAATTTGCGGCATGGAGTTTGACTCGAGATTGTCTTTCGATTTAGATTAAGTTTAAACATATGTACATAGTACCCATGGTCCCTGTTTATCAGTTGTTTGTGAGGTATGTAAGTCCTTTCAATTTCTTAATTGTTTTCGGATTAGCTATATAATCGCGCATAACGTAATGTGTCAAGCCACTCAGACATGTAACGACAAACTTAAAGCGAATGTCAATTAGTTCTTTAGCCAATCTATCAACTGTAAGTATTACAGATTTCCTGAGATTGCGTGACACGATGATTTCACTTTGAGGTGCCAGTTGGACCATCTCTGGGCCATATCAAACCCATCTCTCGCCCATCGGTTGCTAGTGGCGCTCCCATCACCGACTTCGTTGTGGGCCTTTAATCATTCAATAGGCAATTTGTTTGTACTCCTGGCAACGAAATGAAATGTTTCACACATTAGTCCGGTCAACTACTTCGCAGGGCAGAGCCTGGATCGGTGGGGGACAGGCGTCTCCAGCTACTATATTTAATATCATTTATCTTTCTTACGCTCCAATGTGCGGTCTGTGCGTGTGTGTGTGCCAGTGGCAGAGGGGGAATGGTGAGATGAATGCCTAGCGGTGTTGTTGTGATTTATGATTATCAAAGTATTTGTTACCTTTATGTCCAAATTATTTGCTCGCACATAAATCATTTTAGCTCCCCCTGGCCACTGCTGCAGGCCTTCGTCCACCTTCGGGGAGCCCTTGCCGCTTTGATTAATTTTCTTCAATTGCCGGCCGCGATTGGCGCCTCGATTTGTACTCGGAACTTGAATTTGGGATGGCAGAACGATTTGTTTGATATGCCAGACAGCCACTTGGCACATAATTCACACAATTGGTCAACAAGTCTGCCCCGTCGACCTACCCCCATCACCCCGCTGCCTGGATCCATCACAACTCCCAGCTAATCCACCCACCTATGCAAGAGCCCACTCGTCATGGCTGGGGTCTGTGCAATCTTAAGAGTAAACGCAATGAATTATGTATGTGCATATGTCTTTCTCCCTTTTAGAAGAAGAAGGCCCCAGTACATACATACATACAGACAGGGAACTGTCTGGCTTGAATACATTTTATTTTTAATTATGCACCATTTTGCTTCTTACCTTTGAGACAAGCGTGGTTCTACATTGTTCAAATACTACCAACAACTCATGTGCGATGCTTTTTTGAGTAGCATTTTGTAATAATTTCTACTCAAGTTACCTGTTGTAAAGTCTATTTTATACATATGTATGTATGTACATATGTGCACTAAAAAACTGATGAGACTTATTGGAAATAATAACTAACTATTGTTAGAATATTCTTGAAAAAAAACAATTTTTTTTTACTTTATTTTTATTATTTTTTTCTGTTTCACAGTTTTACTATTTTTTTACATTTTATTTGACAGTTTTTCTATTTTTGTTGTCGCTGCTTTTTATAGCAAGCGTCTCTATTGCAAGCGTGGCCGCCCCCGTACTACTTTATTTAATAAATCTACGCAACCTTCACCAGGAATCGAACCTGGGACCGAACTGTGACGCAAACATGCAGGCCCCATTGCCCATTGCACCACAGCCGGCGGCGAAATGACCGCAGAAAAAGTGTTGTATAAGCTTATTCTCAGCTGTGTGCCACGTGGTATGGAGAATTTGACCACGGTTTGAGGCTAAAATTAATAAACTTGTTCTGGTCACACTCAGCTTCTTTCAAAGCTATTTTTTGTTTCTTTAATTGTATTTATTTGTATTTTCTTTGCCTATGCACTCTGTGTCTGAAATAAACAGTTGGGAAGTCTAAGGCTCCATAAGTAAGTTTTGCATCCCGTCCCTTTTGACCCACAAGGGTCGAGAATCTTTGACATCCAACATTTTGAATAATCGCAGTTCCGTAGAGGATGGCCATAGCTATCAGATCTCAGAAAAAGAGTCCGATTTAATCAATATTATTATTGCCAGAGGGACAAAATTAACTTGAAGTGCCTACCCCCCCACACCCTGTGGCAACCAAACAAAGCTTGCTCA